CCCCGTGCATCGGGTGTTTATCGGGAATTCCTTCCCCGGTTTTGGAAGGAGCTCAGAGAGCACCGGGAGCTCCCCTGCCCCCAGATTTGCTCCTCCCTGGCTTCCGGTGCCTCCCGACCCTAAAATCAGGGCTGGAAAAATCCCAAAAGCCATCAGTTCCCAGTTAAATAAACTTCCCGTTTCTCCCCCAAATTCCGGGGGATTTTTTTTTTGCTGTTTTCGTTTTGTGGCTTTGATCCTCTCCCTTCAGCTGATTAATGGATGAATTAATTAATGATGAATTAATCAGGAGGCCTCTGGGGGATTTGGGATGGTTGTCTCCGGTGGGAGATATCCCAGTGCACGGCATGGGGTTGGAATTGGGGGATTTTTAGGGTTTTTCCCACCCCAAACCATTCTGGGGTCGCTGAGTCAAACCACCCGGACCCCACAGCTGCATCCAAGGGATAAATGGGATCCAAAGGATAAAATTCCCTAAATCCAGCTCAGTCCTTCCCTCCTGCACCTCTTGGCTCTGCCAAAGGGTCTTTGGGATCATCCAGGCCAGGAAAATGAGGGAAAATCCCAAAAAATCTGCCCAAACCCAGCGGGTTCCTGGCTGGGAAGTGCCACAATGAGGGGAAAACCCTGACCCCAAACCAATCCCGAGCCCAAACCAATCCCAACCCCAAATCAATCCCGAGCCCAAATCACCAATCCCGAGCTCAAATCACCAATCCCGAGCCCAAATCATCAATCCTGGCCCCAAATTATCAATCCCAAACCCAAATTATCAATCCCGACCCCAGATCAGAGCTGATGGATGGGACGTGTCTGTGGGGTGGGATTGGTTTATTTGGGATGGGTTTGTGGATGGGATTTGCTTGGGATGAGGTTGGGGGAGGATTTGGGGTCTGGGTTTGGGTTCTTTGATGGCGTTTCGGGATAAAAGGAGAGGAAGAAGTGGTGCCTGCATGTGATCCTGCCTGGGCACATTCCCAAAGCCCATCCCCAAAGCCCAGTTTTATCCCCAAAGCCCATTCCCATTCCTAAAGCCTCTTCCCAAGGCCCGTTCCTCTTCCCAAAGCCTGTTCCCAAGGCCCCTTCCCATTCTCAAGGCCCATTCCCGTTCCCAAAGCTCCTTCCCAAAGCACGTTCCCGTTCCCAAAGCACGTTCCTGTTCCCGTTCCTGTTCCCGTTCCTGTTCCCGTTCCCATTCCTATTCCTGTTCCCGTTCCTGTTCCTGTTCCCGTTCCCATTTCCATTCCCGTTCCCATTCCCATTCCCATTCTCAATCCCATTCCCGTTCCCATTCCTGTTCCCATTCCCATTCTCAATCCTATTCCCGTTCCCGTTCCCGTTCCCATTCCCGTTTCCATTCCCATTCCCATTCTCAATCCTGTTTCCGTTCCCGTTCCCGTTCCCATTCCCATTCTCAATCCCATTCCCGTTCCCATTCCCATTCTCAATCCTGTTTCCATTCCCGTTCCCGTTCCCATTCCCATTCCCATTCCCACATTCCCATTCCCATTCCCATTCCCATTCCCATTCCCACATTCCCATTCCCATTCCCACATTCCCATTCCCATTCCCGTTCCCATTCCCGTTCCCATTCCCATTCCCATATTCCCATTCCCGTTCCCGTTCCCATTCCCATTCCCACATTCCCGTTCCCGTTCCCGTTCCCCGGGCGCGTTCCCGGCCGCCCCCACACGGGGGCGCTGCAGAATTCCGGAGCCGCCGCCGCTCCCGGGGGAACCGAAACTAAATAAACCCTAAAACCACCAAAATGACCCCAAATCAACCCTAAATACACCAAAATGACACCAAAATGACACCAAATCAACCCTAAAACCACCAAAATTACCCCAAATAAACCCTAAAACCACCAAAATGACCCCAAATCAACCCTAAAACCACCAAAATGACCCCAAATCAACCCTAAAACCACCAAAATTACCCCAAATAAACCCTAAATACACCAAAATGGCACCAATAGACCATAAAAACACCAAAAATAGCTCAAAACAGACCCTAAAAACACCAAAACTGCCCCAAATAAATCAGAATCACCCCAAATTCACTGAACAGACCCCGATAGCCACGGGCAGATACCTCTGAATAACCCCAAATCTTGCAAATAACTCCAAATTGTGCAAATAACCCAAAATCTTGCAAATAATCCCAAAGAGCCCCCAACAGACACGGAGAGACCCCCCCAGACACCCCAAATATTCCCTGACAATCCCAAAAATCCTTTGGCACTCCCAAATATCCCCCGAGACACACGGACACACCTCGAGATCCAGCGACACCTCTGGACACCCCAAATATCCACAGCCAGCCCCAAAAATGCCCCAATAAACACGGACACGCCCCAGTATTCGCTGAGCAATGGGAATAAAGGAATATCCAAAGGGATCAATCAATATCCAAAGGGATCAGTCAATAACCAATGGGACAAATCAATATCCAAAGGGATTGATCAATAACCAAAGGGATAAATCAATATCCAAAGAGATCAATCAATATCCCAAGGGATAAAACCATATCTAAAGAGATAAATCAATAAGCAAAGGGATTAATCAATGTCCAAAGGGATCAATCAATAACCAAAGGGATCAGTCAGTAACCAATGGGATAAATCAATATCCAAAGGGATCAATCGATATCCAAATAGATCAATCAATATCCAAAGGGATTGATCAATAGCCAAAGGGATCAATCAATATCCAAAGAAATCAATCAACATCCAAAGGAAACAGAGGATTGTTCAAAGGAATCAGTCAATATCCAAAGCGATCAATCAATAACCAATAGGATGAATCAATATCCAAAGGGATTGATCAATAGCCAAAGGGATCAATCAATATCCAAAGGAAACAGAGGATTATTCAAAGGAATCCATCTATATCCAAAAGGAACAATCAATAACCAATAGGATGAATCAATATCCAAAGGGACTGATCAATAACCAAAGGGATCAATCGATTGGGAATGGAGGAAGCGTTGAATTCTGGGATGGATGATGGGAAACCCCAAGGGATTCCGGCTTTATCCTTGATCTTCTCCCGAAGACAAAATTCCAACAATTCCAAGGAACACCAAAACCATCCCAGAATTCCGAGACATTTTCCAAAACATTCCCAAAAAATCAACGACTCACCCTCATCCCGGAATTCTGTCGGGAACGGGGCCAGGGAAATTCGGGAAGGGCCGAAATTCCAGCCGGGAATTTCCTCGGAGCCGTCGCGTCCGTCGCGCTCGTCCCTGCCTGGGTGGGAGCGAATTTTGGGGAAATTTGAGGAATTTTGAGGAATTTTTGAGGAAAATTTGAGGAAAATTTCAGAAATTTGGGAGGAATTGTTTAGGAAATTTGAGGAATTTTTGTGGAAAATTTGAGGGAAAATTGAGGAAAATGAGAGGAATTTTTGAGGAAATCTGAGGAATTTTGAGAAAAATGTGAGGAATTTGGAAACCCCCAAATTTTACCATTTCCTCCCAAAATCCAACCTGATTTTTGTGGGATTTTCAGGGGTTTTAGGATAAAGGATAAAACAAAGGATTTTTGATATAAATTTGCAGGGAAAAGGATAAAACCATGGATTTTTGATATAAGTTTACTGGAAAAGGGAATAAACCGTGGAATTTCCAACTAAATTTACAGGGACTGGGATAAAACCATGGATTTTTGATATAATTTTTTTTTTTTAAAGGATAAAAACATGGATTTTCCGTATAAACGTTTGGGAAAAAGGATAAAAACATTAATTTCCTACGAACAAATGGCCCCATCCGAGGTGTGGAAAGGATCTTTCCACTCCTGAAATGAATTTATTTGGAATTTTCCGGGGAATTTCCGTGGCTTTTCTGGAGAGGCCGCCCAGCACCAGGTGCAGAAATTGACTTTTAACGAAAGCGACGATGAAAGATTTTTAATTGGGCGTGGAAAGATTTTTAATTGGATATGAAAAGGTTTTAAATTGGATATGAAAAGGTTTTTAATTGGACGTGGAAAGGTTTTTAATTCAATATTTGCTCGGGCCGGGGCAGCTGCTCCTCACTCGGCGTCCTCCAAACAGCCCCATCACGGAATTTCCAGCAGCGATTCCCAAATAAAGCTGGGCCAGAAAATGATCCAAGGGCAAGAATTCCCATTTTTAGGGGAAAAATGGGAATAATAAAAGAAAAAAAGTGGGGTCATCAAATGATCTAATATCAAGATTTCCCATTTTTTGGGGAAAAAATGGGATTTATAAAAAAAAAAAGTGGGGTCATGAAATGATTCAATTCCCATTTTTAGGGAAAAAAAAAATGGGAATCGTGGGAAAAAAAAGTGGGGTCATAAAATGATCCAAGGGCAAGAATTCCCTTTTTTAGAGAAAAAATTGGAATAATAAAGGAAAAAAAGTGGGGATTTTTGTTTGGGATATGTTTGGGACTTTTTGGGGGGTTTTGGGGATATTTTTGGGGGGATATGTTTGGGAATTTTTGGGGATTTTTTGGTACTTTTTGGGGATTTTTTGGGATTATTTTAGGGGGGGGTTGGGATGTTTTGGGGGTTTTTTTGGAATATGTTTGGGAAATTTTTTTTGCGACTTTTTAGGCTTTTTTAAGGATTTTTGGGGCATTTTGGGGGGGGATTTTTTGGGGATTTTTTGGGGTTTTTTGTGACTTTTTTGGGATGGAGCTGCTGGAGCTTGCAGTGATTGCCGGCGCCCAGCAGGTCGGGCTGCGGGGCAGCGGCAGCCGGGAATGCGCCGCTGGAATTTGCCTCCCCTCCCCCAGGCACGGGAAAAACATGGAATTTCTTGGGAATATCCAAATCCAGCAAGGAATAATCCCAGGAAAGGATGGGAAGGGTAAAATCACGGAATTTCTTGGGAAATTCCCAAAGGCAGCAAGGATGGGGAGGATAAAACATGGAGTTTCTTGGGAATATCCAAAGCCAATCCCAGGAAAGGATGGGGAGGAAAAAATCATGGAATTTCTCGGGAATTCCCAAATCCAGCAAGGAATAATCCCAGGACAAATATATCTACTAATATATGTACTCCCTAATATATATAAGTCTAAAAATGATATAATATATATAATATATAAATACATAATTATATAAAAACTCTAAAAATTATATAATATATATTATATATAAATATATAATTATATGAAAACTCTAAGAATTATATAATATATAATATATAATTATATAAAAACTCTAAAAGTGATAGAATATGTATAATATAGAAATATATCATTATATAAAAACTCTAAAAATTATATAATATATATAATATAGAAATATATAAAAGCTCTAAAAGTGATATAATATATATACTATATAAATATCTAAATATATAAATATATTAAAATTCTCTGCTTTTGTTTCCGTCTCCGCCGTGTTTTGACATCTCCGGGGCCGGGATTTGAGCCGCGCGTTCTCGTTCCTGTCAATCCTGACGTTTTTTTCTGCTTTTTCCCAAACACTCCATAAATCCCAGCCGGGCTCGCGAGCCCGAGCCCCGCTCAGCAAAGGCTTTTTCTAAATAAAACTTCCTAAAATCAGCCGGCACTCCATCCATTCCCGACCACTCTGGCCCGGCTTCAAAGGGAACCTTTGCAGCAAAAAAAGGGAATTTTGGGGTTTTTTTAATTGTTGTTTTAATGATTTGCTACTTGGCCTTGTCATAACTACATGGAATAAAAAGGAGAGAGTTGGGGAAACGCCAGGTTCCGGCTGCTGGCAGCTGCAGCTCCCCAGATTTGGGCTTTTAGAGGGATAAAAGGGTTGAAAAAAATTTGGGGTTTGTTGGTTTTTGGTTTTTTTGGGATTTTCTTCCTGGGGGGAGAGGACAGGGATGGACATGGCGGCACACCTCCAGCGGGATGGAGTTTTGTTCCGAGGCAGAGTGAAAAGAAAGGGATCTAAAATGGTTAAAAGGGAGATAAAATGATCCCAAAAGAGTTACACCAAAAAATGAGGCAAAAAATTGATAAAAAGATCAACTAAGCTGGGCCTGCTATGAGGTGAGGCCTATTGAGGCCTACTGAGGCCTACAGTGGGATGGAGTCCTTTTCTGAGGCAGAGTGAAAAAAAAGGGATTGAAAAGTGAATAAAAGGGAGATAAAACAATCTCATAAAATGATCCCAAAAGAGTTATAGCAAAAAATGAGGCAAAAAATTGATAAAAAGATCAACTAAACCAGGCCTGCTATGAGATGAAGCCTGCTGAGGCCTGCTGAGGCCTACAGCAGGTTGGAGTTTTGTTCCGAAGCAGAGTGAAAAAAATGAATCAAAAAATGGATAAAAGGGAGAGAAAATGATCCCAAAAGAGTTACAAAAATAAATGAGGCAAAAAATTGGTAAAAATATCAGCTAAACTGGGCCTGCTACGAGGTGAGGCCTACTGAGGCCTGATGAGGCCTACAGCAGGATAGAGTTTTGTTCTGAGGCAGAGTGAAAGAAAAGGATCAAAAAGTGGATAAAAGGGAGACAAAATGATCCCATAAAATGATCCCAAAAAAATTACACCAAAAAATCAGGCAAAAAATTGAAAAAAATATCAACTAAACTGGGCCTGCTATGAGATGAGGCCTATTGAGGCCTACTGAGGCCTACAGCAGGATGGAGTTTTGTTCTGAGGCAGAGTGAAAAAGTGATCAAAAAGTCAAAAAAAGGGAGACAAAACATTCCCACAAAATAATACTAAAACAGTTACACCAAAAAACGAGGCAAAAAAATGATAAAAATTCCAACTAAACTGGGCCTGCTACAAGGTGAGGCCCACTGAGGCCTGCTGTGGCCTACTGAGACCTACTCCGACTTTTCTCTTTGCTAATGAATCCCTTTAATTAACAAAGCTCCCAATTTTTAAACCCTTCCCGGCTGGACTCACCTCGGGATGGGAATTCCAGGTGGTACCTGAAAAACCAAAGGGAAAAAAAGCCGTAAAATCCCAGATTTTCCCCAAGGATTCTCCCAGCCTGGGAGAATTTGGGAAGCAGGGAATGGGAAACACGAGGAATTCCAAGAGGAATTGGGATGGGCCAGCCCTGGAGAGCAGGGAAGGGATGGGATTTAAAGCCCTTCCCAGCCCAAATTCCATGGATTTCCATCCATTGGAGTAGATCCTTCTCCAAACACAAAAATTCCTGAGACCTTTTTTTTCCCTCAAATCCTTTAGAAGTCATTTCCAGGCCCAAAATATTCCAGGATTTTCACTGAGCTCATTCCCAGCAAGTGGAGGGTGATCCACATTCCACCCATTCCCAAAAAATAAATAAGGATTTAATATTTTTTAAATCAGGATTTTTTTCTTTCTCCCATTTCAGGAAAATCTTGGGAAATCATTTTAATCCAGGAGCAGCACCAGGAAATTTGGGAATCCCACCAAGGGTTGGGAATAAAACACAAAGTGCCGGTTCCAAGATGAGCTCCGGTGGAAGGAATTGGGAAAATCCAATTAATTAATTCAGATCCTCATTAAAAACTTTCCTGGAGAAAACGAACCCTCAGGAACATCCCAGCCCCTGGCATGGATTCCTTGGGAAACAACCCCGGAATTCCCATGAAGGGCCTGGTATTTATTGGAGTTTTTTTCCTTTGGATTAAAAAAAAAGGCCAGGAAAAATTCAAAATATGCACAGATTACCTGGGATACTGGGTTGGGAAGAGCCTTTTGGAGGAAAAATTGGGAATTTTTGGGGATGTTTTTGGGGCTGGTTCCCAGGTTCCACAAGGAGTTTTTTCTCCATCCTGTAGCTGCTCCATTTTATCCCAAAATTCCCAAAAATCCAGCCCCACATGAGGACAGCTGGAAAAGCAGCTCCAGATTTTATTCCCCTAATTTTTTATCCATAAATCCCAGCATTTCCATGGAAAATTCCGATTATCCAACATTTAAGCCAAAAAAGAATCAGCTCTAAGAGATCCATGCATTCCCCCAATCCCAAAAAATCCAGATTCCCAAAATTCAGGATATTTTTGCTTCCTGGACAAAGAAGAACAGCAAAAATCCCTTTTTTTTTCCAGGAATTTTTGCCTCTGGAGCTTTTCCCAGCCACGTTTTAGCGCCAACATTTCCTGAATGATTTTCTGTCACTCGCAATTCCCGCTCCATGAAAGCGCCGGGGCTTTGTTCCCGACCTCTGTCATTTTTAATCCCAGGAAATGGCCTAAAAAAAATGGGAAAATTGAGTTCCGTTCCTTCCCGGAGCAGCTCCGGGGATTCAGATGGAAAACGCTAAAAAAAACCTTGGATTTTCCTGCTTTTTCTCATTTTTTAGGATATAAAAACAGCAAAAAAAATCCAATTTCAGGTCTAGGATTTGGTTTTAATTCCATGGTTGGATCGTTTTTACACCGGGAAGGAAAATTTGGGAGAAAATTGAATTAGGGATGGGGGAGCAGAGGATTTTAGGGAATGTGGAGTAATCATGAGCTCATTTCTGCAAACAGAAGTTTTGGATAAATCCCATAAATGCCAGATTTTGGGAGCCTTTGGATTTCCAGGAAGTTCCCCCAAGGAATTTTGCTCTTTCCCCAGTATTTTCCCTAAATTTGGTGTTTCCTCCACCCTTTCCTGCGTAAAAATTAATCCCAAATCCTATTTTTTCCAATATATTCTTGGATTTTTGGGTCTGCAACACCCAAAAAATGCAAAAAATTGGGTAAATTTGTGTTTAATGGGATTTGAGCAGCTGGAAAAATCCCAAAATCCAAACCCTCTGGGCCAGATCCATAAAATCCAGGCAGCTTCCAATTAAATTCCTGATTTTTCCACATTAATTAATAAAATATTCCCAAGGGACAGGGTGAAATGGAATCTTTGAAGCCAGGATTTGAATGTCTGGGAAAATAAATAATTTTTTTTTTAATCGATGCTGGATGAGATTTCCAACAGGGAAAAAAAAAAAAAAAACTGGGAGCTGGGAAAATGGGATTGGGAATTCCCCACTAGGGGAGAAATGGATTTAAATTCCTTTTCCAGCTCAGTTGGGGCTCTCAGGTTTCAGGGTAATGATGGATCCAGGAGGAAATGGATGGGAAAATTGGGATAATTCCATCAGCCGGGCTGGGAAAGGCTGGAAAATTCCGGAAAGGAGCAACCCTGGAGGCTCCAAAGGGAATTGGTGGTGGGAGCGAGCTCGGGGATAAAAGGAGGTGAAAATGGGATGGATTCGATTTGGATTAATGGGAGAAATTCCTTCCTTAAAAGAAAAAGAGGGGAGAACATCCCTATTCGGAATAAATCAGGAATACCCCAAAATTCCTTCCTTAAAAAGGGGGGGAAACCCATCCTGAAAATAGGGAATAAATTGGGAATATCCCAGAATTCCTTCCTTAAAAATAGGGAAAAACCCATCTTGAAATTAGGGAATATATTTGGAATATTCCAGAATTCTTTCCTTAAAAAAATAAAGAGGTAAAAATCCTGAAATTGTAGAATAAATCAGGAATATCTCAGAATTCCTTCCTTTAAAAATAGGGGAAAACCCATCCTGAAATTAGGGAATAAATAGGGAATATCACAAAATTCCATCCTAAATTCCACCTAAAAAAGAGGGGAAAATCCCCATCCTAAACCAGAGAAAATCCAACCAAACCCAACGACAACTCCCCAGGATTCTCCGTTATCCCGAGCCTGGAATATCCATCAAATTCCAAACATGGGGGAGCTGCAGCAGAAGGAGGAATCCCAGACCCTGCTGGAATTCCAGGATCTGGAGCGGGAATTCCGGGGGATCCCACCTGGCTCGGAGGCGCTGGAAGGAGCCCAGGACGGCGTCGCGCTGCTCCCGCGCCCGCGCGCTCAGCGCCTCCTCCCGCAGAGCCCGGCCCAGGAAAGCCTCAGCCTCTGGAAAAGCGGGAATGGGAATGG